CATCAATATCTGCATGATGCTTCCTGTAAAGATGATACTTACTGGCCAATATGAGCTCTCATCTGTGGTTTTCTCTGTGGATGCTAATCTGAATGCAATTTTTAAATTTTGTTGTCGATTATATTTGCTTCCTGTAACATGTATTGAGGCCGCTCTCTAAAGAGGCCTCTTGACTTTCACTAGAGAACTGCAGTAACAGCACAAATGACTTAGAAGGAGCATGGATATAAACTTACAGAGATAATATCAACATTAATTATCCAGTACATCTATTCAAGCTTACACCTCGTGAGTGCATTGCTTATATTTGCCTCAGTTCACTGTAAATCTCCCTTTCATTACTGTTCACAGCCCACAAAGGTGACTATTTTTATATATTCTAGAGGCATACATGTTCACACTTTGAAAAAAACCCTAAACACACCAAATGTCTGACGAACAGTTCCCTTTTATCCTTAACATATTCAAAGGCCAATATTTTAGTGCTGTAATGAAATAAAACCTTTTCTTGAACAGAAGCATGCTAGCACACTTTGATCATCACTTGTGTCTATTTTCAGCACATATTTGTTGACTGCTCTGGAGTGCATTAAAATAAACTAATCCTTTAGGAATGTGTTTTTGGTGTTCCAATTATGATAATTAAAAAGATAGTATTCATGCTGCTTAGATGATATGAAGTGTACTTATATACATTTTGAGACTCTAAAGGCAATGACATATACCTGTTTTCCTTGTTAAGTACCTATAATTAAAGGGGAAATCGACGAGCAAATGCACAGAAAATTGAAAAATTATCCAAACTAGGATTAAAAAATTATTAACAACCATTATAAACATGCATAGCGGTTCATCTAAGACACTTTGAATTATGGAAAAAAAAGAAAATAAATAAATAGAACTCACATACATCAGGAGTAAACTTGTATAATATTAAGTTAAATTATACATAACATATTTTTTTTAATTCTGCTCTTTGTGGCATATCTTACCTCAATGCAGCTACTTATTTCTCCTTTGGAGATATTAACAGAATCATTGGTTATTCAAACTATCAATAGTTTAGTAATGAAAATGGAACAAGGCAACAGCAAACAAAAAAGTGTTTACACTAAAAGACAGCAAAATTTGGTACATCTACTGCATATGCAAGATTTGCTATATTCTTCCAAGTCTAATAATTTTTAAAATCATCTAGTTTCTATTCTCTATTAATTTTCTCTTTTAGTGAAACAAGACCTTTTCTTCCAAGTAACTTAGTAGTCAAGTTAAAAACACTAACAGCTTACCTGTATATGAAGATCACATGGACTTGCATGGATATTCCAATATTTATGTGAGTGATACAGAGTACAGAGAGAGAAGAATTTGTAATCCTTCCATTGGGAGTGTCAGAGACCTCCCTGTGCTCAGAGCATAGAAAGTAAAAGTAGCTGTCTAAAGCTCAGAAGTTATCAGGACATCCACATTCCCTTGTGCAGGTACCTGACCATTGCTTCTTTTCAGAATCCATGGGTCAAGGCACTGATGTTTCTTTTTCTCTAAACTTTTTCAAGAAGCCTCCAGTGACTAATCAAGTTTAGAGTTACTGTGGTTGTGTTGATACCATCACACAGTACATTTCCATTTCCAAACTAACGGTCCTAACTTAGAATCAAATTTTGGAACCGGGGATTTTCCAGTTCATGTAGAAACTACTTTCCATAATCAAATTCTATTATGCATTTTAAATTCTTATTTCTCAAATTCTTCTCAATAAAGTCACTTATAAAGAGCAAAAATAGATGGGTCTTGAAGACACTAAAGTCCAGTTTTCCCACTGAAGAGTAAGGGCACTCAAGCAGATGAAGAGGGTATCTGGTCCATTCACTCATTTACAGGAGTGATCAGTAGTACAGGTGAAGGGAAAGAGTGTCAGTCAATTCCCTGTGAGGTAATTCTTCTGCTAGCACATATTCCTACCTTCCAACAGCCAGCAGCAGAGGAAATTCTCCTCCTGGACTGGATTTATATACCTCTGTTCTTTTGTACAGAACAGAACACCCTCCCTTAAGCTCATCTTCTAATGCAGTGAGTAGCACAGATCCTTGCAACACATCCCTCCAACGTTTTTGGCAACAAATAATTGGTTCTTGCCTCCTTTTCTTATCTCTAATCAGTCATTAATTTATGAAAGGGCCTTCTTTCTTGTCCTATGACAACTTTCAGCTCTTAGCACTGGGAAAGAACCTTATCAAAAGTGTACTATGGAAAAAAAAAAACCATATCATCATATCAAGCATACTTATTTGCTTTCTGAATTAAAAAAAAAAAAAAAGCCCTAGTAGATTAAGAACGCATGATTTTTTTTTTCTAAAAGGAAAAGCAAAAAAATCCTACATTCTCAGGTTCACTCTTCATTGTTATAGCATATAGTTATTCACTCTCTATTCAAACACGTGGTCACAACCACATTCCCTCATTTAAAGGATAAAATTACTTGTTTTGAAGATCCCTCTGAACTGCCTTTTGAAAAATCAGATTTGACACTTGCCACACCTATTCTTTTTGTGCTGAGGCCACTATAAGTCATAGGCTATACATCAAAGCTGGTTGTTTGGAAATTGTTTGTCCAAGTTTCTTTGAAATATCCAGGGGAATATTATCTGGTCCTTATATTTGTCACAGTTCATTTTATGAATTTCCTCTACAGTCCCTTCTGACACTAAATTTAAAACAATTTCTGGGACTAACCTCTCACAAGAAAAAGATCTAGAATTAGAACTTCCCAAACTCTTCCAACACAAAGAATTATCTTATTTCTTATGCCTTAGAGACTCTCCTCTCTCAGTGGATTTGACAAAAAGGTTTATTATTAGTTCTTATGCTCCTAGAAATTTGGTCATGGAAACATTTCTGGCCTTGCTGTATCACAATTTTACATTTACCTTGCTAGAGTTCAAGCTTAATTCTTATTCTCAAATGACTCTGGTTTCTAGAACTTTTTTTCTGTTATTTAACTAGGCCTTTTAAAATACCACAGCTCTTGTGCCATGTGAGCAGCCCCCAGAACTTTGTACGGATTACTACTGAAAATACAGCTACAGAGCAGTAAGGTAGGAGTTCTTCCCCACCAGAATAAATGGGAAGTCAGTAGTGATGTGTCAAATATTTATCAGCTACTTCTACCAGAGAATATTCCTCTCACATCCTCCCACAAGGCCTCTTGTCCAATAAAACCACACCAGCCAGAAGTGGAAGACAGTACTGTGCCTTTCTCTGAATCTCCCCTCATGTTGAACACGATTTATAGGGCATGATTACAGTTGTACCTCTCTCTCAAGGACGAGAGGGTTTTGTTCAGAAAGAGCCACTTTTCCTCTTTGAAACAGTCCTAAAAGGACTGAGAGTGAGTGGCACTGTCCAAACTTCCAGGTCACTTGCCAGCAGAACGAGAAGGTCAGCAGTTAGGATAGAAAATACAATTACCTCTGCACTCATGACTGATGGGTTACATTTGACAATGCTCTGCTTCCTGACTTTTAGACACAGCGAGTGAAGTTTTCAGTGGCTCCAGCCTCTCATCACAGTTTTCTCTAATGTGCCATGGCAGAGAAGTTGGGTCAGCTGTGCACTGCTCAAATTATAAAGAACCTGATAATCAAGAAGGTATAAGAGTGATGGCTCTCATTTTTCTCTGAGCAGGCTTCCTCTCCACTCACACAAACCTTTCTAGCAGCAGTGGTGGCTGGAGGAAGAGCAGCTGTAACGCTTCTCGGGTACCTCAGAGTTGTGACCACCTCAGCCAAGCGCTCCCTCAGATGATCAACAAAAATATAACTGCCCAATGATGGCAACCCTCTAATAAAGGGAGAGCTATCTAAATCTAGCACTAATTTTAATCAATGGAACTGCCTAATTTTTATACATGCTTTACAAATGAGATCACTTAGACATGAAAAATTTAAGTGAGTGGTTTGAAGGTAAAATGGTTTACAGAAATTGGTAGAAGCAAATAGCAGCAGACTCAAATTTCCAGTCCTCTGTTATACCTTCTTCAGTGTGATACATTAACTTCGTGCCTTTCTCTCTGCGACCAAAAGAGATTCAGGAGAAAAAGGGGGAATCATAACAGTTTTTGAGGTCATGTCTCTGGGGACTGAGACCACAGAAGTAGTGGCAGCCACCTTCTAGACCCCAACAGCATAAAAAAAGAAGGCTGATTTAACATGAAAAGCTAATAAGAGCAAAGAGAAATTGCCAGGGTAAAGGTAAAACTGTTGAACACAGAAAACTTGGCATAGAATTTTAAAGCCTGTTAGAAAATTTCAGTTCAAAGCCCCATTAAAGCAAACAGGTATGAACATCCAAAGTCATAACACATCTTTGAAAAACTCAGCTCTTTTACCTTATTTGTTTCCACACTAGAATATATGCTATCTAAAAACAACCAGTAACAAAAATTAGAATAAGACAGCTAGTACTGCACAAACAGGTAAGAATTTTCAGTTAACTACAGATATCACTCCTTGTCCTTGAAGGTATTGAACAAATCCACTGGATACACCTTCTTATGTTTTCTGCTCTATATCACAGTCTTTTCTAGTCACATTTATTGTAACACATCTGTCAATACTAGAGGACAGAACTCCTATCACTGTGTATTTATGGAGATATGTGTACAGATGTTTTTGCTACAGAAAACAGAAGATAGAAACATTAAGCTTAGTAAAAGTGATTTAAGCTATCATTCACAATGGACCAAGTACAAACACACACACACATGATCACTGCAACTCCTCTGACTCAGGGTAACTCATGGAGCAACAGTAGTTCCAATCTGTGGGAGCTCTGGGTTTTCCAGAATGATCCTCTCGCTTAAGTCTCACAGCTGAATTACCAGGTTTGAGCTTCTAATTTTCAGTTACAATCAAAACAATAGGTACAGCTGTTATCTGAAGCTTGATGCATTCATTCTCAAACAGGCAGTTTGTAAGGACGCTTGGAAGGTAGATACTCACTGATCTGGTTGGTAGATGCACTATAAAAAGCATTTACAGTAGTTGGGCTTGTAAACCACCTGTAGTAAGAACAAAAGAAATTATCTGTCAGTACATTGACATTTACCTGTATGAATCAAAGGAGCAAAGATAAAAATTGAACTCAGTAGAAGGAAGTAAAAACATTAAGGACTTAAAACACATTAAAGTTTTTCTCCACTTCAGTACATGCTACTTTCCAGAACATTGATATCTATTGTTTAATGACATCAACTTCATACAGTCAATGAATGCCCAACAGGAGAGATTCTTAGGGTTCCTATCATGTGATGTGTTTAATTTTTAAGTGACCACTGTGCTTGTGAGGCCAGCCATGCTGATGAAACAAAATTCACCCAGCAGAGGATGCAACACTGACAGCAGCTGTAAAAACTCTCTTGGGTGTCTTTCAAATACGTGTGGTGGATCTCCCTGTTGAAATTAGAGGAGGGCATTTTGAAACAAGTAAAACAACTACTTGAAAATTAGGATTATGCCAGCAACATAAACAGGTAATTTCTGGGAATGTAAATTCAAAATAAACAGCTTCATGTTCAGTACCCTACACAGTGAACATGACCATCCTAAAGAAACAGACCTCTTGCCAGGCATTTCTTCTCATAGTTTGATTTCTCATATATAGTGGAAGAAACCCTAGATTTGAATAGGAGTTGGAGTTTGATGATCCTTGTGAGACCTTTCTAACTCAAGATATTCTATAATTCCATGAATAGCAAATGAATCTCCTTAGCCTAAGCTCATCTATATTGACAGTGGCTTCAACCATCTGAATGGAAAATCTTGACTGACTTCAGCAAGATCCAAATCCCCTCAGAAGAAACCCTGAGTTCAGTGAGCCCAAGATTTCACATTATGATTTTATAAGGGAGAAGTGAGGTAAAAGAAATAAAGATTATGATAATTAGTGGTTAGTTCATAAAAACTTAGAATCAACTCTAATAAATGTCCAAACAGGAACATCCTGATGTCATTAGCAAAATATTACTCAAAAGTTTTATAAAAGCCATGTGAATGGAGTGTGATTGCTTTGGAAAATTTATTTTAAGGACAAGAGAAAGAAGCTGCAAAACAATGAGTAAGACAAAGGAAGATCTCTCAGAATATGGAAAATATGTGATATCAGTGACAATGTATACACAATTTATGCTTTAAAATAGCCCCATTAATAAAAGAGTTATCTGCAGATCCTGATTGTTTTTCTGACAACTAATGTCCTCGCTTAAACCGTGTAACAAAGGAGAGAGTTTTAAAATAGCAGCATTTTGTCTTTTATCAATAAATTTAACTGGTTGTTTTATTCTCCAAGCTGAGCAGCTTATTTTGCAATGCATCAGCTAGAAAAACTAATCAATGAAGGCAAAAAGAATGATGTCATGTACATATTTTAACCATTCATCACATTACAGGCTCTAATTGTCAGAGATAACTCTCCCTGTTTTGTTTATTAGGAGACTGGGAAGGGGAGGAGCAGGGGGAGGTTGGTTTCTGGTCTGTTTTCTGCTTTCTTCATAATAAGGAGATTAAATGTAAGAGGTAATGTAGTGAGATAATGGAAAATTGAAGAAAGAATGTATATGGTGAGAGGATAATGAAAAAAATTAGGAGCTTAATTAACTACATTTCAATTTTATGTTTGTTTACAGCAGCAATCAGCTGAACTGTTTTGAAGGATGCAAACCTGACATTTATGCCTTGGGACCTGTGCTCCAGGCTTAGCTGTAAATCTGGAGGACTGCCCCTTTTTCAACAAGGAGAAAACCCATCTGAAAAGGACACATCTGAAACAGTCAACACATCAATTTATATTTTACTGTAAGTTTGAGCAAAGACACACGTGTTATGACTTGCACCTCACCCTCCTGGCTTGTTTTGCTTACAATAGTCTTTCTGTTCTCAAACAGCAATTTTTAAGCATGAAAAGGGCTTCAGTGACAGAAAATTCTCCCTTTTTGCAAATTCCTCTTAGCCTTTTTTCCCAGTCAGAGGATCAAGGGCCTGAGATGTGCAACAGATACTTCAAAACAGATTAATGTGCTGTGGTTCTTCTCTCCATCCTCTGGGGGGGTTTACCACAGCTAGCTGCAGAGAGGAACCACCACAAGCAGCAGCAAAGAGCTCTTCACTGACTAGGGACAGCTTTCGATCAGCATGAGTTTGCACTTGTCTCTACTGGGTGAGGAGCTGGTGATGCAGGTACTTGTTCCCACAGGAACACCTCAGCCTGCCCAAGAGCAGCAGTGAATGCTGGTGTAATTTGGTCCTCCACATTCACTGAGGGAGGATATCACACCATCCTCTGGCTATACTTTCATACCTATCAACTCACAGACTTGTAGCTTGCAGGCTAAGACCTATTACAGCATCCCTGTCCTGAGACTGCTGTTTTTCTCATCATCTACCACCACAGTAGCAGAACCTGTCCTGTTTGCTGAGCTTAGCATGAGCCAAAGACAGAGTCTTGATTTTCTCACTGTAAAACTAAACTCAGTTATTTCCAAATTGTTCTTTTATAATGAGGCCTCAAGAATGACCCTGTATGAAATTCAGTATGCTTTTAATCAGTTAGGAAGAGGACACTTAGCAGCCATACTGAGGAGTCAGGAAGAATGAGAGTTATCTAGTAACAAGCAGAGTATTTCATATTTGACATTTGGCAAGCATATTTCCATTCCAGCATTTTGTTGTACCATTTTGAGCCCTCTCAAAAAGATTAAGGAAGTATTTTCCACAAAAGAGTAGAAATTACCAGGACTGCTTCCATCCAAACTAGCAGAACAACTTTACTTCTCATCTGACATGCTCTATCAGTGAGCTCCTTGAAATGACTGAACCTTCAGGGACAGTCCTTAACTAATAACACACCAAATTACAATGTGAAGTGTGTAATAAATAGCTGTTGCTGTTAAATTTTAAAGTGAAGCAAATTTACTTTCATTGACTTCTATTCCTGTTTGAAGTCAGATTCCCTAAACATTTGCTCTAGGTCTGGTTACAGTTTCTGTCTGCTTTATCTACTAACAGAAGGATAGAAAAAAATAAAGGCATTACACATTCCAAGCTCCTATCAATTACAAAGTAAATAAATAAAAATTTTAGAACTGTTTACACTGTTGTCATTTGCTATAAGTTTGTGAGAAAGGGATAGCTTTGAATGATGCCCCTAGGAGGTAGCATTACCTATCTACTACTGCAGCAGTCAAAACCTAATTCTGCAGAGTTGACACCTGTAAGGCTGAGATTTCCCTTGTAGAAATAAAATGTGAAACATATACTGAGATAGTGGGGCAGAAACTCTCTTAGTCTGTTCTTGAGGCTGCAATTTTCTCTGTGATATTTTCTTCCTGTGTTAAGAGTATAGTGTGCTACATTGCCATTCACGAACAGGGTTGGCTGGGAACATTTACAACACAGGAAAAAGCTAATTAGTTTATTTAATTCTCTGTAAAGCACAAACTGAATTTGCAAATTGGTCCTCAGTTTTTTGAGTTGGAAGAAATTATTTGATTTGCTGTTCAACATTCTAAGAAATAAAAAAATAATCTTATAAACAAAGAAAATGAACTTGTCAACGTACAAAGAATTAAGCTGGTTAGAAGTGAAAAGCTGCACAAAGTTTCTGGAAGCTGCAAAATGTCTACCAAAGAATATGCTATAAAGAAAAACTTCTAAACATGAGGCTATAAAGAAAAACTTCTAAACATGAGGCAACCTTCAAGGTGACTTTCAAAATCAAATTTCCTCTTCTCATTGTTAATCTCTTTTATATATTTACCCATGTAGAAACAGACTATTATCCTAGGCCAGGCTGGCATCTGTCTCCCTTAGGAATGGGCAAGCAGCTAGGATGGTGAGGCTGGGCCCAGCCTTCAGTGCCACATCACTGCTAAAAATGAGGTTCAAAGACCAGGAAAAGGCTCCAAGAGGCTCCTTTCCAGCCCCTCCCCTCCAGGGCAGGTCCCAGCCATGTGATTTCCAGCAGCATCTCTCCAACAGACAACAGCCTGCCCAGTGCTGCTTTTCCTTATTTGCAGAAGGAGCTTTTTCACTGTTCTTAGTGGTATTCAACTCAGAATCTCTCAGAGCTGCCCTCCCTTGTGCAAACCAAGAGCCAGGGCTTACACACAGTAGTGAGTGGTCAAGAAAAACAGGGTAGGTCCTGGAGGAGACCCCAGAATCCTCTCATAGCCTACTTCGTTTGTATCCTCTTATCAGGATACCAGATGTCTACATCCCCAGCACTGAAAGTCTAGTCAAAAATGGAGAAAGATTTGGCCAGAACTAAAAATCTTAGATTATATGCTGACTTCAAAGGAGAAAGATGACTAATAATGGTGTGCCCAAGAAGTCCTCTGGTGCTTTGTTATTTGCAAGTATGATATCAGTGTTAAGAAGGACAGATGCCATCACTGATAAAAAGGTGAATATGTTTGTATGTATGTTTGTATACACACACATGTATATTTGTATGTATGAGTGCAGATGACTCCATAGATGGATAGGAAAATGCAATTAAAACCCTGACTCTTCTTAATTTTTCCTTTCCACATCACCATCCCCTCTCTCTGTATTGCCTTTCACTTTCCTCTGCTCCAGCTGTATCTCACCTGGGATATGATTGTCTTCACATCTGGTGCCCATCCTCCCACACTGCCCCTTCCAGACTCTCCACTGAGCTTCTCTACCTAACCTGATCTGGTTTGTGCACTATCTTCCACTGCTCCTGCACAAATCCTTTTCATTTTTCTCTCTGCTGATACCTAAGCACTTTTTTTTCTTGTTTGATAGAGCCAGCTGTGAAGGTGACAGTCATCTCCCCAGCCAGCTGTGAGGATGGCAGCTGGCATCCAAATCAGGTGTTGGGCACAATACCTCCCAGAGCTGTGGTGCCCTCAGGGGAGCCTGGCCCAGGACTGGCAGAACAGACAACTCCAGCACGCCTTGCCCTGTCACAGCTTCCTAGCGCCTGTCCCACTACCTGTGCCCTGAGCAATGCCTCATCAGAGCTCCTCCTTCTCCTGTCAGGCAGATAAATGCCAGCAATGGAGGGGACAGAAGAGAGAATAAAGATTTTTGATAATTACTCCTGTTTTAGGTTTTTTTCCTTTTTTTTAGATTAAAAACCGTTGAATTTCCAAACCAATTCTTTCCCACTTTGTTATCCACATTTCCCCTTATTTTATCCAACTGCTTTGTCTTGTATCTCCCATCTCCTCTGTCCATCCCTTGATGGTCTTTCCCTGGTGCTTTGACTGAACAATCATTTTCATTTCACATTTAGCTGAGGAAAGTGATTCCAGATTGAAATAATATTATTGAGATATATAGTCTGCTGAAAGAATAGTGTTTTACCTTTTGAGTATAATATTACTTTACATTTTATTTCCTTAAACACTCATTATCTTATTTATCTTTTTCAGTCCACAACTCTGATGATCTTATAATATCTATCTTGAAATATAAATGTTATGCTAAAAGCTACTAAACTTGGGAAAAGAAGAAATTAAGCAAATAGAAACAAAACCCCAAGGGTAATTAGCTAATAACATAGCACCAAGCTTCATCAAAAATTCTGTGGAGTTCTATGAAATGTAAAAGTTTAATAAACAAAAACAGAAAAATGAGAGAAAAAAAAGAGAGGTAAAAACATCAGAAAGCAGTGGAATATAATAATTTAAAAGTGTAAAGTGGCTAAAAAGTGGCTGATATTTTTGAGGCTGGGTTTGACATGCCTCAGACTGGTAAATGGGAGTTATTGGTTTGTTTTAATAAATTTTAAAAAAAAACATTACAGGAGATAGCAGTGACTCTTTGTGCCTTGGTGTCCCTCAGCAGGCAGAGTGACACCACTTTCAGAGCCCTTTTCTATCACTGAACAGTTGCAGAGGCAGAATAATGTTCCAGCAGGAGCCCTAATTATCCCTCCCTGTTGGGGCTCAGGTGGAGATTACCTCCAGCCCTGCAGAAGGCAGAGCAAATAGCTGTGCTAACAAAGGGAAAGGACCAGAAATCAAACTGGCACCAGGCCTGACTGCATTCTGAGGGCTGACAAGAAAAGAGCTGTAAAGGTGATGGGGGCTGGCTATTATGTAGTCCAGGAAATAAGGTGGTAAAGACAGGCATGAGAAGGTGTTCAACCTTGCAGTGGGCAATTGGATAACACTTTCATTTTTTAAGCATACTCATGTGACAGCTCTCAGACTACAGTCCTTGAGTCAGGGGCTGTCTACCAATTGATTTCCTTACAGGGGAGCTTTCCCATCATGCCAAGAATCTGCAGGTTCTGTATCAGTGCTGCCCCAAGGGTGACCATTGTTATAGAGAGGTCAGTGTTGTTTCACTGCTCTCTTGGAACTGTTATTCTGAAGAGAATACACCATCATGGTCTAGTCCTGACATCCAGGAAAATTCCTAAAATCATCCCCTATGGCTGGCCAGTGCAATGTCAGAGAAAGCTGTGATGAGAAGGTAAAATGCACAATTAAATCTAAACTATAAATAATGCCTTGAACACACAGGGCCAAATTAAAATACCCTAGCCATGAACAAACTTCCTTTGTCCCCCTGCCTCATGGACAGCACAGACCCACCCCCAGAACAAGGTACAGTTCAGTTTGAGTAGGATTTCTGGAGTCCTAAGGAGATACCACCACAGGAGCTACGCACTGGCACTGATTTCAAAGCCTGTGTGTAGAAGGAGTCATTTTTAAGTAGTATGATTAGACTAATTAAGTTCTGCTTAGGTTTTAATTTGCATTTTAAGGATTTGATTACCCACCAGTAAAAAAAGGGAATGATTCTCTCATGTATTTTATGACAGTTTGTGACACAATCTGCACTCTCATGTTTACAAATAAATAAAAATAACATACATAGATTAAATTATGTTTTATTCTGTATCATTGCTATCAACAGCAGGCAACTAACAATGTTGATTTGTATTACTAATAATAAAATTATCTCTTACTATGATTTCATTCCTACAAAATTTATTTCATAAATCCCTGCTGTACCATTTCAAACTCGAACTGTGACCAAGAGACATAATCCATTTTTAATTGTGATTAAATTACTCCTTTATTCATTAAATTAAGTTTAAGCTTCAAGCATGTGACTACTCTGCATATGAACAGGGATACCTAGAACTTAACCAAAAAAAAAAAAAATCCACAGGAGTTTCTGAATGATGGGAGTTTGCCCATAGGCTTTTTGTGGCATAACATATTGCTGTTAGCATAATTCTATTAAAACTTAATATATAACAGTATTTCATATACAAATTAAATAAGTTAAAATATTGTTAGAAGATTATGTAAATTTGCCTTTTGTCTACTCACTCTGTTTTTGGAACTTCTTTTCTAAGCCAGTAGAAATCAGATTGTGCTGCGTATTTGCGACTTTGCAATACATTGCCAAAATAATCACTTTCTGTAAACTTCAGCTGTATCGAGAAAGCACAGACATTTTTAAAGCATGTCCAAAGAAACAAAAGCTGACATAAAACAAGCAGAACTTTTATTTTATATGAGATAATCACCTAATTTTTTAGCGATTATCAAAGCAAGTAAAATTTTCACACTTGGTAGGAAGAATAAATATTTTATGAGCTTAGCTAAAAAAATAGTGTCTGAACAGATCTGCACAAGGGTCTGGAACAGTGGGAAAGCTCTTCACTGTGCAGAGTGCTGCTGAAGGAATCATAAGCACTGAACAATGGATTGAAGACTGCACATTTCTATGGCTATTATTAAGAGAGCCTCTTTCCAGGAGGAAGTAGGCTTACTTGTCTTTTTGAAAGTGCATTTTAAAACCACTTCAAACAATGTAATGAAGTCCTCTTTTTCAGTTTGCTTTACATTTTATAACAAATACTTCATATTCTGTGCCTTCCAAGAGTTCTGCCACATTAAATATTTACAGCCATAGGGCTCCATTCTTCCATAAGTTTCCAAATCTAACAGCATTCACACACACAAAAATAAACAGGAAAGGAAAAGGGATGTTAATAGGTTATAAATCCCTGTCATCAGTTTAAAACAATTCTAAAATTTGTGAGGAAGTTGCTCTTCAGATGTAAAGTATGGTTTTTCAAGCATAAGTAATGAAGTACTTTTTGCCAGACACTGCTACTTATCTGAACAAATCATAGCTGAGTGATAGAGTTGGTCACATGTCTCATTATTCTGTTTTCACTGCACCACCTCACCCTCCAGTTTCCATGGACAAGGACTAGGCTGGTGGAGTTGGTTGTTTCAATAAATGATGCCTCTATTTAGTGTTTGTTCAAGTGCTCTCGCAAAGATGATGATCACTCTCATTTTACTGGTTCAGGATTGAACTTCTGTTTCTAGTTTGCCTGTGACTTTCAGTAATACAGTTCATCAAATGCATGCCACAGTTGGAAAATAGTAAAATATATTATTATTATTAGTAGTAATCATTTGCCTTCCTGCCTTAGTTAGGCTGGACAGGTACTGGAGAAGGAAGGATAGGCCTCACAGTACCTTTGTCAAGCAGGCAGCACAATAGGCCTATACACTGGTTAGGACCTCTTGGCACGATTATAAGCATCAATTGTAAATTAAATTCATAGCCTGGAGAGACATGGAGAACCCGTATAGGGCATCCAAAATTGTGATATTATGAGGTAAAATGCATTAGTCTCTTTGAAAATCATTATATGAGAAGAAATGCTTTTGGTTTGTTCCATTTTTATAACCAAGTGCAAAATTATTACAGTGTGTGCTTAACCTTTAAAATGCTTAATAGCAGGAAGGTTCTTTGCACCCCGGCAGATTTTACTCCCAGCAGGCCTCATGATCTCACTTAGATACAACAGCACTGACTATTTAGACACAATTTAGAGTTAGCATGCTTCAAAAATAAAATAAAAATTACCATGAGTCCAGGTGCATGCCAAATAAAAGACTAGCTTTGACTTTAGACTAGCTTTGACTTTAGACAGCAGCAAAACACAGCAAAGAATGGCTGCAATAAATGAATACAGCTGCAAGCCTGACACTTACTGTTTTGATGTCTTCATTAATATATGTGTCATTCATTATAAACTGAGGGTAACCAACTTTCGCCATAACTGCTTTTGCCTTTGAAAAAGAAAAAGAGAAAAAAAAAAAGTTTTGACAGATAAAACCACTTCCCAGCCTACAGCTTTTTCTCTTTCTTGCTCAGCTTCTACTTTGTATTATTATGCTTCCCTGGAGCCATCCTAATTTAACTTCAAAACAACTTGCCTACAAGGTAAACTTGGTGCCACAAATGAGCTTGGCATCACAACACAGAGGGTCCAGATTCCATTGTCAGATTATCACAGTGGGTCTATCGCTGCCCGCAGAGCTTTTGCGTACTTACAGCCACATGTCTGAGTGCAAAATCTTAACAGCTGATTTTCCCTACAGGGTTTTGTGCTAATCAGATGGTCAAATGCCTGTTTGTACAATGTTTTCCAAAGGACAACAGGAAATGGCCTGCTTCGCTATGGCACAGTAGCTGGTACACATCCAACTGCTGAAATAGATTTGATGCACAGATGTGAATCAACCTTAGTCCCAGCAAATGCACACTGGTGTTTCCACTGAGAGCCACTTCTATCTGCACCTGAGGATGGATCCTTTTCTGAAGGACACTGTACTTTCTGAAAACCACTGGACTGATCTGTGGTTAGTTCTCCAGTTTCCCTCCATTACTTTGTGGTCTTTGCCCTTTCCCTAATGTCAGTAGAGGTGTTAAAATAAGACACTGCATTTTTCATTAATTCTCTTTCACTCATGCCTTGGTCCCAGTGTTTATGCACAATCTGCATAAATGGTTCAGTGTGAAGCAGCTGTAGATGAGTATTTCCACTTTGCAAATCATAGTGTGAGTGTATAAACAGCCTTGGTAATGTCCTCACAAAAACACCAGAAGGCCACTCAGATACCCAGAATCTCTGTGGAAACAGGTTTCCAGAAGAAAAGCAGAAGTATACAAAAAGATAAGATGACACAGCAAGACATGAAATATGACAAGTCCATAGGATAAATTACAGCTATGGATAGCACAAAACTTCCATTTTTTTATGTTTTCAGGATGCTGAATGTAATTTCTCCATAAGTCTTTGGAATTCCCTCCACCCCTCAAAAAATGTTCCTCTATGTTCATCAAACCCCGATGTCAAAACTCAAATAAATTTTGCAAGATATGAAAAGCAATAAATAATTTGCCTTCAAAGCAAGTACAATCATACCAATCCTGCATTCTGCTCTCTGTGAGCAGAGCCTGGACCTCTCTAGGGTCCAATGACTTTTATTTCCTTCTTGCTGCAGAGACTGACTGCTCAAGGGAAGATTCCCCTTCCTCCACATACCCTTTCTCCTTCTCCCACTTCACAGTATCTCAATACAGCTGGGCCTCCTATACAGCAAGACCTAAAACCAGCTGTTCCACAGATTTAAGAGGAGAAGTGATGGAGGATTTTCTCCATTTAACCAAAGTCATTCTGTCTCCTCTTTTATTTTTCAAGAAGAAAAGCCTCTTTTCTTCAAACTCCTTCAATTTCTCAATCTCACTTCCAACCCAAAGTAATAATCCTCCATTTGTAACATCACAATTAATTGTGGTTGAGATAACTAAGATGTCAGAAACAGAAGATAACAACTTCAGGTAGAAAATTAGCAGCAGGAGCAGACGATTTCTTAAGCAAGAAAGATCCCATTGTCATGCAAATTGCCCTAGTAATAAAAAAGCAATGGAAGCAAAATGCTGAATGGAAAATATTAAATGAGACAAATTAACTCTCAACAGAATGTTTCCTCACTTTGCCAGAAGGTTCAGCAGTCTTTCATGATATTTTAAATGTTGTGGTGGGGAGGGAGAATAAAAAGCCAGGAAGGGAGCACCATTTATCTGAAAGTTTGTGTGTAATCAAGAGTGTCTAAATTTTTCCTGGTGGTATTGTCAGGTCCAACTGACCAAACCTTGCAAGGAATCAGAAAACTTCCTTTACCATTTCCCATGTTTCAATGCTAGTTAAAACTAGCTTTGGAAAAGGAAAGAGCAAAACCCATCAGTTTTAATTTCTGCTAAGTCAGCTAGTTAAATCTGGTGAATCTCAAATGTTCTGCATGAGTTCATCACTTGCTTTGTGACTTTCACATTTGATGTCATGAGATTGAGATTTCTAAGCATGAGAATAAAATAGTCAGACATTATGGAGATTTTTCTTATAAAGGCTATATAAAACCCTAGTAAATAACAGAGCATGTCTCGAGATTTTTGAAAGCAAACTCACAATGTAATGCTGCTTTTAGTACTTCGAGGCTTTGTCAATATCTAAAGCTGTCTGTATTTTGTGAGGCGGATAGATAGATAGACAGATAGATAGATAGATAGACAGATAGATAGATAGATAGACAGATAGATAGATAAGGGAGAAATATTATATTATTGCATTTGTTACTTAAAAGACATTACCACAATATGCGTGCTTTAGAGATCTGAGCAAATAAGACAGACAAAGCTCATGCTGACAGCGAAGTATGCTTGGCTCCTAGTTAGGGAAACTGCTACCCATAGCCAAAGTAAAACTCATGAGAGAACACAGAAAGCCTTCTGAAGCCCTTGGGAATCCCTCTGACTGGGATTCCTCCTAGAAGCTTTGCATCAGGTGCAAACCTTTTCATCTTAGCCCAGCACTCGGCCCAGTTTATTTACACAACTGACAAGATAGAAAGTATCATGTTGAGAGCAGGTTTCTAAATTTGCATGTTGGAAGTCTTGTTTCTGTGCCTATTTTTCTGTTCACCTGTGTAATATTTAACAGCAGTTGGGAGACTCCTTATTTATACAGCACAAGGAAGTGGAAAACTCTTCTACAGCTTGCTTACTCTTTGATAATGATGTCATTAATTTCCCTTTGATAGGATTAAAAGTATATATAAGAGGCCAGCCTTCCAGGAGGCAAGCACAGGGAGTCAAATGAAATGTGACAAATGTACAGGAACCAGCCATGTGGCAGTTGCACATGAATCCACCATAAATCCACCATGCACAACTTTTTATGGTTTAAAGGCTCATTTAACTCCTTTCTCTAATTTGCATATTAAACAGCCATGTGTACAGGAAGAAAAGAGGCGATGGAGTACTTCCCCCAGGCATCATTAAGCACTCAGCCTGCGTTGGGCTGTTGGGTAAATTAAGGAAACTCATCGCTGCAGGGCTCCTCTCCCACTAGCACAGGCAAGAGGCTCTCACAGGGTGCTTCAGGGTAAGTCATGACTCTTTTCTATCCCAGCAGCCAGAGAGCAGGCTCTGAGGCACAGGAGCCAGAGTGGGACTACCTCCACCACTCCTTGTGCATGGAAGTTTCCCCACTGACTTCAACACAGCCATGATTTTGCCACCAGTGTCTCTGTCACAGTGAGAGCATTTCAAGTCGGTTTACTACACAGACAAAATAATAAATGAGCTTTCACTCTCTGCTTAACAACCTGCCAACGTGGGAATGCACAAGTGTTTCAGTGCTCCAAAGCAGCCCAGTTTCCAGCCTATCCAAATTCTCACTTGACAACCAAGCGTATGAGCATTCTGAGAGCCTTTCTGCCTCTCAGAGTACGACTTGGATATTTTATACAACACTAAGTACTGACATATTTTACTTACTTTAAAGAGAAAACAAAACAAAACATATCTCATGACAAAGTTTTATGAGTCTGACAGAGATTCTGTATATTAACTCGACTCAATAACTTTGTGAAGATCATTTTTAAGCTTCTAAATATGTAAAAAATTAATACAATTACAGCTCACTGAAAAATTAGCATGAAATACACAGTGAAAGATAAAATCATTCATGGCAAAGTAATGTTCCATTTAATTACAAAAATTAATTCAGCCTTTATATATGTGCCCGGTCTTTTAATTTTTCATTGAGAACAGATGATTCAAGAGCCATCTGGTAAAACTGCTGCATAAATATCACTGCATCTATCTAGGGTTTACATATGGAAAACTAGGAAAATAGAGTGATGGATTTTGGCAAAACACAGGAAAGTTCCATCACAGAGCTAAAGCCCAGTCCTACAGACGTCAGTAGGAGGTCACCACTGACTTGAGTGAGAGATGGATTGAGCTCACCCTAATGATGCACAGAATTTCCTTTGTGGGAAAATGAAATATCAGGGATTTTCACATTGTCAGCTGCAATGGAAAGTGAAGTGGCAAGTCAAACATGAACACTTGGCCTGAAATGACAATTTTTAACAGTACTTGATCTGCAGTCAACTGTCTAATCCATACTCAAGAAGACAGTTTATCATTATTTATTTTTAAAACTTGGCTTAACTGTCCTCTTTTTGTTGCATGTCACAATAATAGAAGCTGTATAGACTTTTCAAGAACTGGTGTTTCATTTAATGGTAATTCACATACCACCACACTGCCATCCCTTCTGCATTACAATAATTGTTTTGAATGCTCTAAAATAATTGCTAAAATAGTAAAGACATAAAATACAGCTATCATTCTGTCTTTGTAATAGCTTGAGGCAAAGGCTAAAAGAAAAAAAAATAATCAAGTGACATATGTGAATAATGGCACCCATGTATACATAAAATTGCTTTCAGTTAAATACACATTCTGGTTTCAAAAGTGGCTGAGTCCATTTAACAACTTTGTGCTGCAAAATGAAAAAAATGTCCTAGCCCTTGTTCTTCTTCCCTGCTCCTCTCAGCTCTGTCCATCTTCTCATGCTGCGTGCACCCCCAGCCTCCAAAGGCTGCCTCAGCTCCTCAACATATCTTTCTGTGGGACCACTTAACACATCAATAACACAGCAAAAATTTAACCAAGTTTTTCCCCAGCTAATTTTCTGCCAGATCACTGAGCTGAATCACTCAGTCACTACATAGAGAGGTTCTAGAACTTTTACAAGTGCTAGGGACACATGATGTGGAAAAGTGGAGAAGGATTATGTGGTACACTAGCTACCACCTCCTCTGAATGATCTTTTGAAACCTAAGCCTGACTCAGAGAAAACTTACTGACAAGTAAATACTACTTAGTGCAATTAAAAATACCATACCATACCTTATAATCCTAGGAAACAGAG